AATACTCAGATTTTGGATTCATTTTTCGAATAGTTAACCCTCGTTAACCCTAAAATGACTTAGTTTATTATAATCCTTAATCATTTATTAATTAATATCTGTTAAAATTAGAATTGGCGAATTTAGGCCAATTTATGAAAATTGAAGTTGAAATATACTATACTTTTATAGGTCATGTAAATGTTCCATTAAATTCTAAACTTTTCTTGGTTGAAAATATTAATATGTTTGATATTTTATGAGAGATAAATGTATCAGCTTCAAAATAGAAAAGATTGCGCAGCCATAGTGATTGACAGTATGTAGTGCGCATTGAGAAAATAATGTGCTCTCCATTTCGTCATGTTCAATTTTTTGGTCAACTATGCCTGCTGAAAATTTGATGGCGGGGAACACATGGGACTTCAAAGGCATCGCGCAAACGTTCTTTACGCGCTGCGGCAACTTTGATCTTGGTTCACTTGCATAGCGCTGCGTGCGCGTAGCTTTGCCGAGTGATCTCCTTCTCAATAATACCTCCATGGTATAACACACCCAACCAAATTTGATAAGGTCCGCATTTCCAAGACAGTCGAGAATGTACTATAAATTTGTGAATTTCTGTGATTTAAAAATAAAATCTTAAATTTTTACATTTTAACCAGGCCTAATCTACTCAATCTGTCGTGAATCGGGAAAATGCAGTTTATTCAATTTTGAAATTTGGCTTAAGGGCACCCTGTGGATGTAATCTATCATGGAACGTGATCATATACTCCAAACAATTTTTCGAAATATGAAATTATTATGAGAGTTGCACATTATATCCGACTGTCCAACCACTAAGCACTGAAATATTAGCAATCAACCAATCACAGAAGACATTTATGTATATTTAATTACTTTCCCAGCTGGTGGCAGTATAACAAAAATGCATTATTATTTTTCCTGAAGTTACAACTTAAAAGTTGTGGTCATAAAATTAATTTTAGAACCGCATTATTAACAAGATTATTAGGTTAATCCTTCCAAGCCAGCGTGTACACTGAAAACGTATTTGTTTATTTATTTATTTATTTTTTTAATTGGATTTAACACGTGTATAATGATTTTGATAAACAACCGTAATTCTCTGTACTATCTATTGAACATAATAATAATGAACTTCCTTATGTTGTTTTCATATTAGACTAATATTTTTAAAGAAGACCATTCAACATAAAACGAAATTTCCGTGTTGGTGCATGCATAAAACGTATAATTTCCTGAAATTTGATTATAGAGCGGACTACCTTATGATTTAGACCTAAGGAAATATAAATGTATATGGGTCTGAACTTTGTAATTGACGAAGTGTTCTTCCTTATGTTGTGGTCATATTAGAATATAATATCATTAAAAACCATTCAACAAGAAACATGAAACATCAAACTTTCAAATTTATTTATATGGGCATGATGATATCCAATATCCCGACCCAAGTAATTTTATCTTAAAAAACCTTTAGGTGTCACTTGTACAGTACTGTACTTCTGATGACATTGTAGAACAGCCAGTCATTACGTTTAAGGAATGACTTCATTTAGTTGCGTTGGTGTTTGAATTTAAATGGGTAAATAAGATGGAACAATCTTCAGCATAGAGGAGTTGTTTACATTGATGAACAATATATATTGCAGCGTCATTTATGTACACAGAGATGACTATGAGGTCCAAGATGCTCCCAGAAACCCATGCTCATCTATTTGTTTATTCCTGAAAATTAATTATTTCTGGTATTACAAATAAGACTGAAACCAGCCAATGCAGTCACAAAGTAAAGTTTTTCATAAATGCTACATTGGTCCACCGATTAAAATTCTTTGCATATATCCAACCATACTATCCCTGTGTAGACTATTAGTCATTTTAGTTCTGATATGGTCAATGATGAGGCGAGTAAAAGAAGTTTCAGTTAAGTAACCTTCTGAAGCCTGATTGGAAATTTATTAAGTATGTTTATTGAAATGCTATTGGCTAGTTGGTCACATGCAGTCTTTTTCAAGAATTTTGGACATGCTGTGCATGTGTTTTTCAGGCCAAAACTAAAATTTTATTTTCATTAAAAATATTCATTACGGTTGGTAAGAATGAATGAACGAACAAACATAGTCTATCACTTTTGCAAGTATTTCGATAATATTGATGCATTAAATCTCAAACATTCAATTATGTTTTGATATAGATGGATGTCCGAAGAGATGGTATTGGCGATTACTCCTGAAATGATTGGTAAACGGCCAAACACTTACACATTCACTAAGGCACTCGCTGAGCATGTTTTGCTAAAGGAAAGTGAAAATCTGCCTGTCTGTATTGTCAGGCCATCTATAGTTGGAGCAGCATGGAAAGAACCCTTCCAGGTAAATCCCGTTCTCTTTGTAATAGTTGCTACAGAACAGAATGTTCTTTCAGACTAAATTACTTTAAAACTCTTTTCCTTTTTTATATTTACAGTCGGTAATTTTTTTGGGGCTAGACTTTTTTTCATGAAAGATTAAATAATTGAATATCACCAATATAATATTATAGGGGAGAAATCCATTTTTTTAAAAATATTATTAACGCATATCTCTGTATTATCCAAAAATGTAAGACTATTAAAAAACAGTAAGAATATTTAATATTCAGTATGTCTGTCCTTAATATTGATAACATGATGTTAACCTATTGCTTGGTTGAGTGATCCCTAAGTAGATGGAAAGATTGATAGATATAATGATTGCTCAAGTTATAAATTAACTGCCTTTTCTTTCATTAGGGCTGGATTGACAACTTCAACGGCCCCAGTGGACTATTCATTGCAGTGAGTATTGCATTTATTAAGTACAGTATGCCATTAAACCATTTCTCCTATATGGAATTACATTTAATGAATTTTCATTAATTAATCACTCTAAAGTAAAAGATGTAGTATAAATTCATTTAATATTTGATTTTAGATTACAAATTATATTAATATTAAGAAGTACAGTATGAGCGACTTGTTCTGTTTCACAGAGATGCAAAGTATTCTAGACGAGAAAATGTAACGTTTAATCTGCTTATTCCTCTTACAGACGGGAAAGGGGTTACTGCGGAGTATGAAGGGAGATACAGAGGCCATTGTAGATATTTCACCAGTCGACTACGTAGTGAATATGATGGTAGCAGCAGCCTGGCATACTGCTATTAAAAAGTTAGTTGTACATTCAACTTCCTTAATTTATTATCTTTTATTTATATATTGTTTAAACCAGTTAACTGCATTATCCAAGCTACACACAGATACATTGAAGAAAACAATGAACATGATTTTTTTCATTTACACATCAATTCTGTTGTGCGTACATTCAGTTAAAACATTAGGTTTAGATGCTTATAAATAATCTATTGCTTAAATGTCTGATATACACATAGTGAAAGAATCATTTGGTATAACAAACCTTGTAATGATCTAATATTGATTTGCAAATGTCAAAGGTTTACATGTTTAAAAAAAAACCATTCTTATGCTATTATTCTGCTGTCTGCACTTCTGTAAAATATATTTATATGATAGCCAAATACTGAAACTAATCTTCAAACTTAATAATATTTATGATAATAAGTCCATAACCTGGTCAATTGACTTAAATAAACATGCACACAATATAGGTTAATGTTGATTGACCTCGGATATGGGCATGCGCACTTCAAACTCTATATATCCATGATTTATTTGTTAATTTGCTTTGACATAAACATGTGTAGTTTAAACTACAAGAGGGCTTATTTAGTTCAGATGTTCAAGGCTGCTCTACCAGTACTTCAATATTTACTGTATTAAAGATTAATCATAATTTTATACTGATCCTACTGATAGTGATTCATTTTTTTCTTCAGAGGACATACCTATATATTATCTGAAGACGCCATTGGAGAAATCTTTTAGGCGACCAAGAGCTTGCTTCACACAAAGCCAGTAAGCAAGTCTTTACATTTCTATTTAGTCCCTGGGAATTTGCAGAAATAAGTCTCTTTAGAAACCAAAAACTGTTGTAATAGATATATTATATATTTATTGTATACTAATGTCGAAGTAGTACTTTCATAAACTTAGTGGGAAGGGTTGGGGGTGTTACCATCACTATTGTGGTTGTTCAGAATGCATATCTGAAAATTTCTTTTGCTTCTATGTGAGGGGGGTGAGGGCCCTTACCTTAAGAATCCACCACTGCAATGAGTGTTGGCAATTCATGCCTCTATTGACAAGAATAATGTTACCTGATATTGAATTGAATGTTAATAACATATTTAAATTTATTTAAATAGTTAACAAAACACAGACAATATACCTTTATATGTTTAATTATATTTTGGAAATATTTGTTTATTATTGCTTGAGTATGCTTGCATTCCGCCATGTCAGCAGAAGAACAGCTTTAATCAGGGGCGGATTCTGAGATGTCCCAAAGGGGGGGGGGGGGCAATTAAAAGAATTTCCAAAAAGGAGACCAGGGCCGGCTAGGCCCCCATTTCCAAATCCGCCCCTTTTAATGATGATGATGAATGCTTGTCAGCTGCATTTGTAATTGCATTAACATTTGTTTCCAGCATTGATTACTGCATTACAATATGTGAATGTCTATGCATTTATGTAGTTACAATAAAATGCTTTCAGAAATATAATGAATGGTTGATTTTAAATTTTAGCATGGCCTGTGAATATTGGAACACCGTTGGCACCAAGATACCCAGTATGATGATTGATTTCTACCTCTGGATGACCGGACAAAAACCAAGGTTAGTCCACTCTTCAATTGCAGTGATTCAAGTCTTACCGTCCCTGTTTATTTCGAAGGTGGCCTAGGAAACGTTTCTTTCAGCTGTCCATATCTCAAGACACATCAAGACACTCTAAAATGACATTTCTAATTTTGATAATTTACAGAATGATGAAAATATATGACAAGATCCAGAAAGCGGTAAAGATGTTGGAATTTTTCACTACCAACAACTGGCAGTGGACAAACACAAACTCACAGCACTTGCAGTCATCAATGACAGAGGAAGATAGAAAGGTAAACACCAAATCAATTTTATGCTTAAATGTCTGTAAAACAACTCATGAAGAACATTTTTTTTTTTTTATGTTTTTTTTTTTTTTGGAATGGCAACACCTTTAGCAAAGGCTATTGTAATGGTGTCATATATTGATTGATTTAATTGGTTCTAGTTGAGTAAAAAAAAAATTGAGCTGGAGACATGAGGCAGTCCCAGTGCTTCAGTTTAATCCTGCCTTAGCCCCAAAGAGATCCGTGGGCGTTTCTCTGAAAGCCAATCATTCTGTATTATCAATTATTCATCATGAGACAGTGTTTGCACCTCCACTAAGGATAATAATGATACTTAGTTTATGTATATTGTTGTGTGTATATGTTTGTCTTGTAAAAGTGATTGCCACATATTATAATACAGTAATTATATTGTAGATTGCCAAGCCTGAGTCTGTGTACCTAAATAAAAAATAAATTATAATAGTGAATTTGGCAATATAGTTGGAAAAAGTCCTCTGATCTTTTCCAAAAAGAAAAGTTTACTGCATTATTTAATTTTCACATAAACATGTAGTAAATACAGTGGACCAAACATATTTTTCGATAAACAGCGTTCTATAGTTAACTTGTATTTCACATGGAGAGCAGGTGATTGAACTAGGGCTAGGGCACAAAACTGTCCATTGTTCACCATGCACTGAGTGGTTACCACCAGTTTTAACCAACCATGCCGAGTTGCTCTTATCTGGGAGACGAAAAAAGGCCTTGTACAGATTGCTCATTATTAATATTTGCATATAAGATACAAGATAAAGTATATTGAATATATGATTAGAACTTTGGTTATTATGAAGCAATATCACTGGAAAAACCTTACCCAACATCTCAAGTACCATCAGAAGCCTTTCACAATTTTAAATTCCTTTAACAATAATGAAACTTCTGATAAAGTAATCTTTGGAAGCAGACAAATTTGTTCATTGTTATAATATATTGATTTCTATTGCATTCAGAATTTCATTTCAAGCTGCTGAACATATATTTTTCAAAATCCCATGCCTATTCATATAGAAGACATGTTCTGTTTTGTTGGGTTTTTTATGTATAGTGGAATAAAATATGTTTAATTAATTGTGTTCATTGATTCATGAATTTCTAGATTTTCTTTTTGGATGTGAGACCACTTCATTGGCCTACTTACCTAGAGAACTATTGCATCGGTACCAAGCAATTTGTACTAAATGAAAACTTATCAGATCTTCCAGCGGCTAGGAGACACATTAAAATGTAAGTTTAAGAACTCAAAATGTTTACCCTCCTTTACTTGACATTATTATAATAAAATGAATGTTAGCATGGTGGCCACCATTGCAATCATTTGAGCCTTTGTCATCCATAGGCTAGTATCCTGTCAATTACCCTAAGTCCTCCTTAAAGATTGCATCACACATATAAAGCTAAGCATTAGCAAATATACTATCAACATTCCAGTCTATTTGTGCTATCAGCATGGACCTTGTCACACTGGCAGTTATCATTATCAACTTTGTCTCAATTATGGATTTTGTAATTTATATTTAGTCATTAGATAAACAAATGTCTTATCGGTTTCTTTCCTCGATTACACAATCCCGTATAATGACCAGTAAGACTTGCTGACTATACTTCATAACTAATTACATGAATTTCCTCGTACAGGTTGCGTAACATTCGCTGGACGTGTAACATGATCATAGCGGTGATCTTATGGCGTGTACTCATCGCCCGTTCTCAGCTGGCTCGTAATCTGTGGTATCTTGTTACAAATCTGGTCTTCAAATTCTTGCGGTATTGCAGGCTAAGCTCAGCAAAGCAGTCATAAGTTAATCGTGGTTCAAACAGAAGGTCTTGTATTAAGCTTTGTCCACAATATCAAAATTTGTGACAAATTAGTGTGATGTGTCCATATATGGGCATGTTGATACCAAATATGGGCATGTTGATGTCATTACACACAAATATGGGCATATCACATTTGTCACATGAAATTTGATAGTGAGGACAGACCTTTACTAATAAAAAAAAAACAAATTGTTGAAAGATTTGTAAAAATGTTATTAGAAAATATCTGATCGATCATTAATTTATTGTTGTAACCAACAAAAACACAGGAACCAACTTGTCACAAAGTAAAGTGTCGTATATGTAAATACTAAAGCAGATTGTGGCAAATATACTGTATAATATTTAAGCTTTTTATTGTCACCATATGTAGCTGATATTTTTTTGTTTGTTTTTGGTTCTATTAAGGTAAAAAAAAACTGTGGTGTGAAAAAAAAAACCTATCCAAAAAAATGATGATTTTCATATTTTTTACATAGAAATTTAAAGAAAACTAATAATCTAACCAATATACTGTGCACTAAATTTACCACTGTTCTTTCAAGTATAAGGTTAGCTCATTTTTTTGTAAGGTTTTTAAATTGATTTTTTTATTTAAAAAATTATCAATTGTTATTGTTAATTACATAACGATAGTATTATTAATTAAAATTTGGGTAATAAAAATGGAGGGAAAATTGAATTAACAATAATTTATAAATAATTAGATTTGACTTTATTTTATTACCAAATAACAAAAAATAATATCTTTCCTTTGCTCTTTTGCATATACCCTAACAGGCCTGAATAGAAAAGTGTGCCTCTGACCATGAAAAAATTATCTTTATAAAATGGCTCCAGCCCCATATGTTAATCTGTACAGTATATATAGCCCAACAATGGTTGTCTGAAGCCAAAAAAATGATTTTTCCCCTGTGAGGTGTGACTGCTGAATGCTATTTTTTTGCTCTTTTCCCAGCCCTGTACCCATAAATTTGTTGGTAATCAATTTATTGACCTATTTCAGTGTTTTAATTTAATTTTCTATGGTTCCTCGCGTTGTTTTTTTTTTTTTATTGTCACCGCAATCTGTATAATAACTATAAATACATTGATTAGATTCACTGATAACTGTAGCAGCAAACATGTAGCAACTTCAGTTAGCGTAATATGTGTGTAGCGTAGCTAGTGGCATCCTATAGGCATACTATGTGAGAGTAGTTTTCAGGGTAATTATCGTGCAACAAATTATTCAAATTGATGCAATCATACCTGTTGATGTATATTTTTTTGCAAGCTATTTTTTCTCAAATATTTACATCACAGGTTCATTATAAATCAAATCAGCTTTATTAACCGCCCATGCAAGAGAGCGTCCATGAGAGAGTAGAGGTAGAGGTACATCTATGATGAGACCTGTTTACTGTAATATCGTATGAAAGCTAGTACTGGTTTAAAGTTTGTAATTCTGAAAACAATTTTGTAATAACTAGGATCTTTGATAAATTTGACGTCGTTGAAATTTATGTATATATCAAGCTACAATTCATGTAAGATATCGATGATTTTGGATGGCTTTTGTATATCGGCGCAAGTTTGAATGTCATGCTCGTCTATGGTTCTGGTGGTTGAACAAGTTTTCTCAGATAAGGACTACAATCTGTAGGCCCAGTGTACACAATTTGGCTCATGCACTTTAAAGAACCCAGTACACACTAGGTAAGGGGGGTTACCCCAGTGTACTGGACCATACAGCCTCTGTTGTGGACAGACAAGAGTAGCTGGTACCGATTTTCCGGGTAGCTCAGACGCAAAATAGACCCTTAGGGGAGAAGCAAGTAACTCCACACCATGATCACTTGAGACTTGGGTATCTAAGCATATTCAATATCAGCCATATTTTGAATTACCTTTGTCATTCATTAAGATATTTGTGTGAACCTTGTAGAAAGCATGCCCTGTAGAATTGGTTTTATTCCCTGTGGTCACAATGTGTTTTGTACACAAGAACTGATTATTTCAAATCTTTAAACTCATAAATTTGCAGCTGCTTTTGGCCTCCAAGATTTAAGATTAAAATATCAACTTTTATGAGATTTGTATAATTCTGTTTGTAGAGGGCAGTAGGTAATAGGAACCTGCAGTTTATAGAAAGGTTAACTCTGTTTGATGGTCACATATCCCTTGATTCACATTCCAAAATGTGTTTATATCTCCCATGTTTTGATACATCAGTAAACTATAGTAAAAAAGGGTTCAGATATATTATACCTATATTACAATCCACTGCAGTTGAATATTTCCATATAGTATAACTTAAGATATAATCAGAGAGTTGTGTGGCTTGAGGGATGTATTTTTTTGTTTTTTGATGCAATACACCTGAGTATTAATTGATTACACTTGATAATTGATTAACTGATCAATTAAACTTTTTGATTACTCTGAACAATTAAATGATCAATTACACTTATATATTAATTAAATTAATTTAATTTATTATACTTAAAGTAATAATTATCACATAGGTACAATAACATAACTGTAACAGCGTAACTAAATATTCATTTTGGGAAAATGTTTTTTTCCGAATATATGTTGGCGCCGGCAGGGAGTTTGAAGGTGGAAAGGAATGTAGAATTTATTGTTCAAATATGCATCATTAGTATACAAGTATTATTGTAATTTTTCTTTCAAGATTTCAAACATTTTTAATGTAAGGGTGGCAAACAATTTAAACATTTAAAAATCTATATATTGAGTCCTGTAGCAAAGTATCAATATGAAGTGGAATTATTTAAAATTCTGCAGATGATCTTCGATTTCAGTATTATAGTGCTGAGGTTTATAAGAATCCATCAGAGTATAAGTATTTAAATCTTTATACATATTTTAGGCAACTTGGTTCCAGAATGAGCCTTTAAGGAGTGTATTAAAGTGACTAATCAGGACAGTGACTAATCAGGACAGTGGAATGGAATACGTGCGCACATTTTTTGGATGAAACAGCTCCATTTCCTATGCCTAGCAAAGGAACTTGGTTTATAAAGCTTCTTTCCATCTAGTACGATTTTTAAAAAAAATGTTTCGGTGCAAGTGAACAAGACCATGTTCAGTTTATAAACTTCAACAAATAATACAGTATTTGAATTCCTTACCTGCAGTATATTTATTATGTTAAGTTATTACCTTTCGATTGACCTTTCCGAGTGTCAATCAAAATTGACAACTAACAAATCAGAACATCGCTAAGAACACGCATTTGTCCCACCAACACGTGTGTGTCCCACATGTGTTTACGTACGTTTACGTTCAGAAACAATATCCAAGGGGCGTGGTTTAGCAGAAAGTTCCTTTGAAAGTAAACAACGAAAAGGATATTTCCTTCAGTAAATAGATAATACTGTTCCTATTTTTTTTTCATATAGGCTGGTAATATATTTAAGGATTTTCATATTAAAGTCTGTTAATCAGCAAAAATTATATTGTTTCAGTCTGTGTCTTATTAAAATTATAACTTAATTTTATTTTTAGTTTTTAAATAAGCAATTCTGTTTTTTATAACACATAGTGTACTTAATAGTTAATACGGTATTAATTTGTCCTTATAATACCACTATTATGCTTTAACAATCACCTGACCCAATCCAGGAGGGTGTAGTTTGTGTATCAGGGGCCCCAAGTCTCCCGGAAGAGTCACAGGATTTTACTGGAAATTGGAACGGTCCCTCCCACCGCACTCCGGCAACCAAGCGAGATTCTCCTGGAAAGTAACACATCTCCCGCAAATTCATAATATTTGCACAATTTTACTACATTATTATCAATAGACCTTTCCGGAGTGTCAATCAAACTTATCAACTGACTAATCAGAACAGCGCTAGGAATACGCGCGCGTCTCACAAACACACGTGTTGTCCCGCAAATGCACGTGTTCGCGTATGTTTTAACACTGTCGTCTTGTAGGACCTTAGCAACAATATCCAAGGAGCGGGGCTTAGCGGAAAGGTCAATTGTCTCACAGAAGTCAGTGCTGATGGGCATCACATTGAGCAGAAAAATAAAATTAAATATGTTAAAAGAAAGCTCAATTAAACCAGATCTTCTGGAAGGGATTTCTTCCAAGTTGTGACACCCCTGGTGTATGTCTTTACCAAATTGAAATGGTTTACAGTTTCAAGGGCAATGCAAAATTTGGAGTGCTTGTGCAGTTGGTGGTGAAGATCTTGGATATTTGTCGGTATTCTTTTTTTGCATTCAATCTTAAATTGTTTGCAATAAAAGTTGGATTGAAACAAAATGGAAAAGGATGCTCAGTAGCAGCTAAGATATGAAAAGCTTTTATTGAGAAAATATTTATCAAGTAATTCTTTGCCAAAGATTGATTTTATGCAGCATGGTAACTGTACAGTCTAGAGACACTGTAGGTATTGTCTATGTTAACCTGGAACAAACGTAATTAATATTTGATGGATTAATTGCTTAGTTTGAAGCAATGATGCAAGTTATAATTTACCACATACAATTAATCTTTAATAAATAACAAATAGATAATAAATGATATGGAAAGTGAATCAAAATGTACCAGTATTCATTCATTCACCCATTTAACAGAAAATACGAAATTCGCCACATACAAAAGGCACAGCCTATAGGAAAAAGTAATATGTAGGCCTAGAGTGTATATACAAATACGTTTAACTATATAATTATAGGCCTATGTATAAGATGCATAATTATGTAAATCTATATTATTATATTCCTTATATTAGTTCAAAACCAAAGTTCTTAACTTACAGGTCTAAGTGCCCATCTCTTTTTAAAGATTTAGCCCAGACTCCTCATTGACGATGTGGGTGGGGGACGGTTTCACTCCCCTGCATAGACAGTCCATTTTACCTTCCCATCATATTTTGTTATATCGGTTTTCATCTATACACCTCAGTGGAAAGAGTGTCTTTCCCAAAGACACAAACGAAATACATAAAGGATTAAAACCGATCTCGCCCGAACCAAAACAGTTGCACCAACCGGTGGTGTACTGTATAGTAAAATAAATAATAAATAAGATTTGTAATTTCTCTTTAAAGTAGGTACACTGAAGGCTCTCCGTTTAAACGGACAAATCCCTTCTTCAGACAAATCTTCATGCTCGTATGCTAACACCTGCTGTGTGAAAGAAATATATATATTTTTAGAAAAATCATAATAGCAAGTATCATTCCACCCAACGCCAAGGACGGATGTTTTTTTCAATTTCAAGATTAATCCAATTGAATTTTAAACCATGTGATTGAATATTCAGGCTGCATTTGATAATGGTAATGAGTAATGGTAGTGTGGGATGTGACGTTTACATAGTGTGGGTGTATGTGATGGCATTTCTCGCTTATTCAACCTCATAAATGTCGGTGACCTCAATTCCCCCAATAGCGCCTATTAGTCCTTCTTCGTCATCTTCTGCATCGGATATTTTCTTGAGCTTTTCCATTGTCACCATGGAGTTGAGATCCGTAAATGAATCCTCTTCGCCGTCGATCTTTTTGGCCGCTACTTGTGATATCGTCGACGTCCGATCAGAATCTATTGATCGTCGATGAAATGCGACGACTGGTTGACTCGTGGTGACGAACGTTACTGTGTCGGATTGGTTCTCTTCTTCCGTCGTCCTACTTTTCCGTCTGGAATAATGAAGAGTATTTTCATTCGATTAGTGGATGAACAATTGATTAAAATTAAGACCTACTAATTCAGGAATTATTTTCCATGTGATTGACTTGACTATTGTGTATTAATCATTATGATTATTATTTATTTATTGTGTAACGTTTTATTCAAAAATTGAATACATTCTTCACAGGAAGAAAAGAGCTAAAACAACCTGATGACAAAGGATCAATCATTATTATTATTTTTTATTTTTTATTTTATTTTATTTTTTTTTCCAACCTGGTGGCAGGGTAGCAATTAACGCTCTCTCCAAATTTAGAAGAGCCGAAGCGTCAAAGGAGACAAAGTCCCCTACAACCCACTCACATTGTAGTAGGTGTTCGCGCTGGAGATTCTCAGCGGAACCACATAATCTACACCTGCAGTCGCAGTTGAGATGGAAGCATGAACGCTTATAGCGAGTGGAAGGCTGTGCCTAACCATCTCCCCCATACCTTCCTGTGAGACCCCGTTAGTTCCACTGAAGGGGAACGGCACCAAACTGGAGAGGTAATAGAAGCTAGAGGGGCTCCTTCGCAAAAATGTGCCTTTATCAATGGCCCCGCAGCAAGCCATCCAGATATGATTATTATGATAATATATCATCGTCAGACCTATTATACCACCATCATCATTATCATCATTACCATCATCAATATGATCATCATATCGATGTCACTGGGCTATTGTGTATTAAGATTTACATTATAATTATTATAATGTTATATCAACATTAGGCCTATCATATCGACATCATCATCATCACCATTATCATCATCATTATCATTATCATCATCATCATTCATTATCATTAATATACAGTTATTATATATGGTATGATTGTCATCGTCGTCGTCGTCATCATTATCATTGTAATCGTCATTATAAATATCATTATTAATGCAAATGCATTAATGCATCTAATAAAGTAAATAAAACTTATGAACGACGTGTCCCACGTCATCATCAGGTAATAACGCTTATGCTACTAACGGTTTAAATACTACCGGTCAGATGTAAGACGAAACAAGCAAATATTAAGGTAAGTCATGTATATAGGAATTAGAATGAGAGAGTGATATTAATATCATTATCATTAGAATCGTTTTCATTTTTATCATCAATATAAAAAATGAAAATCAGCAAGCAAAGTATAAGTCTCAGCGACTTAAAATGTTTGTCTTACTTCTTGTATCTATAAGCTAGGAAGCCAACTACCGCACCAATCATAGCGACAAACAGTAACGAAATCCACCAGGGACCACTTCCAGATTGCTGACAAAATAATAATATAACAACAATAATAGTATATGGCAAATATGGGGAACAGAGGAATGTGTATTAAACTTTATCTGAATATTTACACTTAAATTTGTATTCAAAATCTTCGAACGTCATAATACATCCGAAAGAAACTAGTCCTAGACCAGAAACGGGGGATTTCCCAATTTCCACTTACGTCATCTCTTATTTGATCTCGAAGCCTGATGTTGACCGCTCCGTTACATGCCTTCCCTGACCAACCATTGATGCAATTACACGACCAATGATGAGGTGTTTCTACACATTGTCCGCCATTCTGACAAGGCGATGATACGCAACTGTTCAATTTTACATCACAGTCTTTACCAGCCCAACCAGGTATGCACGTACACTTGTACGAAGCACCTTCATCAAGAGGATGACAAGATAAACTATTCGTGCAAGGTGATTGGATGCAGGGATCCATCAATAAATTACATTGATGTCCGCCCCACCCATAAGGGCAGACGCACGTGTAATGATTCTTGCCGTGGTCGCACGTGCCATTGTTGAGGCATGGTTCGCTGAGGCATTCGTTGTAGTCGTGGTCGCAATTCGGACCTTCCCATCCTTCACCGCATACCTTTCCGCCAGTGACCGGATTGCATGTATAATGCCCCCTCTCGTCATTCCTAGATACGCAGTACGTGATGCAGTTTTTGCCATAGTAACCAGTTTTGCAACCCGCGCGATATTTAATCTCCATCCTACGTGAATAAGTATAACCATGCATTTAATCAATGTGTTCCGACAGCTGTGAGGGTATTATAAGAATTTAAAAAGACGACGACCACCACATCAGCAATATTATCATCGTCATATTAATCATAATAATAGTATCATCAGCGTTCAGCAACATCACACCATCATTGTTAGGCCTATTGTCTCTTTCGTTATTATCTGAATTATCGTCGTCGTCATCATCATCATCATCATTACCATCATCACCCCACCAGTGCTACCGTATCGTCGTCATACCGGTAATAATCACCACTAACTACCATCACCACATACACAAACTTACACAGATTGTACTCCAACTATCCTTTTGGAATTCCATTTACCATCTAATGCAAAAAGTATGTTTTCGTAATATTTGTCCACAAGATCATTGCTATTAGTTGAATCAGAGTCATACACAGCTCCTTTAAGACGTATTCCTCCCTGAATGATAATAATGATAATCAATATAGGTACAATCCTAAAGGCCTAAAAAACTGACTTCGCGTGATGGTATTAAACCATTATGGCAGCTTCCAGTGACTGGGCGTGTTTCTACCATTACCTCCGCAAAAAGAGGTTATGTATTCACCGTGTCTCACTGTTAGCAAGATCACGCAAATACTAAGGAATGGATGATCATGAAATTTAGTGAAATGGTACATATTTCAATTTTCTTTACTCAATTCATTCCAAGAAATACAAAACAAAATATGAATGGCGAGTACTCGAGTACTAAAAAAGTAAAGCTTAATACAAATTAGACCCGTTAAGCAAGAAAAAAAGACTTATCTACAATTTTGATGTTTTCATGTGACGTTTCAAGATATTGATAGTGAGGGCATTTTTTATGGTAGAGGGAAGAGAGTTCCACATCACAGGGCCAGAGAAGAATAT